GGCGGGCGGGGGCGACGGTCTGACTGGAGGATGCGTCTGAGGTCAAGCCGGTAGTAACAGAAAACAAAGTCGCCTTTTAGGTAGGATGCAGAGATTAAAAAAAAAAAAAAGAGGGTTTGGGGTTTTTTTAAGTCCCTTTAGGGACCGTCTGCAAACTGTACTGTTAAGTTCACTTCTAAAAAAAGACTCTTTTAACTATTTCGGAGCAGAAGGGTCGATAATGAGTAGTTCAGAGGGGAACAAAATGGCAGAAACAGCCTGAAAGAGTCGAGGCTGGAAAGGAGAAAATGCTGCCGCTGCACCCAAGGGAAGAAGGGTGCTGGGGAAGAAGTCGGGGGCAGGCGGTGAGGGGGGCCTGGAGGCAAGGGTAGCTAGCCAGTCGCCCGAGTGAGAAGCTGCACGGAAGCAAATCATCATGCTTCAGCGTAAGTTTGTTGAGGATGACGAAGTACTATCGCTAGTATGAAATTAAAATTGACCAAAAGTAGAGTTTCTCACAATACTTAGACTACGGTTCCCCTGCAGCTAAGGACTTGGGAAAGTAGGAGCAAGGCTTGGCAGACGGGCCCGTGGTTGGCTTTGGCCAACATGAAGCCACAGGCTGAATGTCGATGAAATTCTAACAGAACTGAGACCATTTGCTGGCATTTAGGCAAAGGTACACAACATTTAGTTATTTAAGAAGCATTGTAATAAAATACAGTGAATTTGATTCTCCTGGGTTCATTTTCAAAGTAACGAGTGCAACCATGACCTAGCCGCTTAACCTATTGCTTACCACAGACTTCTCTTGGCTCAAGATACAGTAGTCACTTTAAGTAAAACACTGTACAAAGTTTCTGAAGTGCCTGAAAATTTATATAGAGAGATAGAAATACCCAATTTTCTCAAGTTACTCCCTGAAACTTTAAAATACAAACCTTCAAAACTAAAAGTAGTTTCCCTTGAAAAATCTGCCCAAATGTCTACATGTCAAAAGCTTTAAGTTTAACATGAGGGGACTGGAAGTTTTGTCCTGCATATCATGTTATGTCCAAAGGAGGTTGTAGCGAGGTGGGTGTCGCTGTCCTGCATATCATGTTATGTCCATTCTGTCTAGTCCACGGCTGACGAGAGCTAGCACACCAGGATGGCAAATATTTTAGTCTCTTCTTACCTACTAGACTGGAAATATAAGAAAATAACACTGAAATAGGTTGCCTAGAGAAGTTGTGGATGCTCCATCATGGGAAGTGTCAGGGTCAGGTTGAATGGGGAGTTGAGCAACCTGGTCTAGTGAAAGATGTCCCTGCCCACGGCAGGGGGTTTGGACCAGATGATCTTTAAAGGCCGCTTCCAACCCAAACCATTCCATGATTCTATGAAAATAGTCTCATTGTCATATTCCAGGTAGGAATAAAAACTGCTTTGCAATGTATGGAGCCCAAACCAGAAGGAATTAGTAAAACCTGGCTGAAACCACAGTGCCCACTGATTGTGCTTACTGCTCGCTTAAGTGATTTGCAAGTCAGATCTAAATGAGATACTTTGCATGTGCAACATTCACTGCCATTTTTTGTTTGGCTCTCCAAGAAGAATATCTTTAGACAAACTGCATTTATTTCAGAGAGTTTTCTTACTTTTATTAAATAACAAATGGCAATAACCTTTTGCTGGCACCCTTGATGTGAATAATTCGAAGAGTGCATAACTAGCTAACTTGTTAGACTTGAATCACTGGCCCAATTAGCAGGTATGCACTTGCTTCAACAAAAATCAAAACATACTTGGGTGCAGTAACCATGGAAATTCAAAGCTAGAGATACTTCTGAAGAATTTATGGATTACTTTGTATTTCCAGATTTAGATTGCACTTCTGATGAATAATTTTTGTTTGCATTTGAAATGCACTGTAATAGCATGGTGCAGTCTCAAATGGCATTCTCATTTATAAAAATATGTACCCACCAAATTTTCCAGAGAGAAAAGTATGTCTGGTAGAACAACATGAATAAGTACTTTGATAACATTATTAAAAATAATTTTATTTTTACAAATAATCAGAAAACTCAAAGACTCTGGAACCTGAAGTTTGTCTCTATACACAGTATTAAGTCCATCAATAGCTGTTATTCTGATGTTATTTAAGTAACAACGGCATGTTGTTTCACTTCAGACTGGCCAAGGTAATAAAGGTGATGTAAGGGTCTGACAGACTTCAGAAGGCAAGTTCAAGCCAAACAGTTGAAGTGTTACCACTCCAAGCCTTGTGCTCCACTCTTCTGATGTATATTTCCATCTTAACGCAGGGTTGTATGACCTTGCGATCAGTTCTCCAGCCATCATCCTTTGTGCCCCTGCTTGCTAAAGTAACCTACTTTACACCCAAGAAAATCATTAAGTGGATCTCTAAGGCAGGAGCCTTAGAGACACCGACATCCTTGGGAGCTGCAGGGCAGACTGCTAGTGAAGTGGAAGTAACTTCAGCTCTCTGCTTTCACTGCAAGTCTGCCAAAACCCTCGCACATCTTTCTCGCTTCCTCCAGAGAAATGGCTGGACATGGAAAAATCTAGTTACTGTGGACAGACGCAGTCAGTCATTTACATGTATCCACTTCTAGGCATATGGTCAAATCACTATTATTATAGATGAAAGCAAAAAATAAATACATCAGAATGAAAGGCACACTAAAACCAAGGGGTCACATTTTCTGGTCCACCTCTTAGAACACCTACAAACAATATGGAGTGCTCTAAAAATGTCTGGCTCTGGGCAGGAGACCTCTCTTTTGTTGTAAATGTGGCGGAGAAGCCATACTAGCTTCTACAAGAGAAGAGGTGCTGTAGAGGTGCAGGATGTAGAGGAAAAGAAGGATGGTGGTGCACGTGGGATCTGTGTAAACCACGAAAGGCTGAAGAATGTAGGGTTGATAGCATGAAGGGTGCCCTCCCCTCACCTCCGTGCAGTGCCAATTTGTAGCACTGTCAGGCAGGCCTAAGGAGATGGGGAAGAACAGACACTAGTTGAATAAAATAAAACTATCACAGTAACCTAAAGCAGAACAGCAGAAGGAAGAGAAGTATCTTTGGACAATCTGGGCAGCGCCATATTTCTTTTAATTTCACCTGTGACAATGGGATCGTAAGTATTGATAAGATCAGTCTCAAAAATCGAGGCAATTGCATTCTCAAGTAACTAAATGCAAAACCTTGAACTTTTTTTTAATCCAAAAGGACAAAAAATAAGCAGGTATATGTTTACATAAAATTAGTATCTAGTCCTACCTGCAGGCCTTCTAGGTATAAGGATGAAATCTTTAATAATTATTTTTAAATGTGTGAGCTCTAGGGAATCCATTCTAGTTATAACAGCAGTGGAATGTGGGGCATTTTTTTCTCTCATTAGTGAATATCAATAATTGTTATGCATGCAAATGGGACACAAAACCATCTCTGTTAGAACAGTGTCTAACTGTTCACTGCAAGACAATGCCTTTTTTGTTTGTAATTTTTTTCAAGAGCCATTCGTGTTGAGCTCTCCCACTGAGTTTGGAAGCCTTTGTGTATTATTATCCACAAAATGCAAAATCCGGTCCACTCTGGGCTTAAAACAAGTCTCAAAGAATTTCCTGGCTTACTTCTCGGTGATGAAGGCTTTCCCAAAGAAAGTGAGAAACTTCTACAATTAGCCT